TTGCGGATCTACTGCACACGGATATCAAATATCTTCATAAAAATACAGAGTGAAGCAAAAAAAAAACTTTTGGAATTTACTCTTTAAATTTTTACGTGTAATAATAGATTGTAAGTAAATTAATAACTTGCTAAAGTTTCAGCAAGTTTTCTTTTTTCATCATAACTGCCTTCTTTTGGCTTATAAAATATACTCAGGCAGATATTTTAGTAGCTAATAATTTTGGCCCCTCATATTAATCCCCTTTTTCCCCCTCCTACACTACTTTGAATGAATTTACTCATAGTTTTTTCTGTTTTGCTTTTTCCCATTGATTTAACCGAAACGCTTCTGGATTCTTTCCCTTGAAATAAATCACTGGGAATTCAGTGCTGCTACAGTTTCGAGCGCTTTAATTTCAGGATAATTAATTGATTTGATGGGATAAATGTCCCAAAATCCTGTCTCTGTATATTGCACGGCCAATCGCTACGCAAATCGCGTAAATCTTTTTGACACAGCAAGGAGGGAAAAAGAAGTGGGGGTGAAGATTGTCGTCACCGATCTGGACAACTGATATACAACTGATAGATTGGATAAATGGATATCAGACACGCAAACACACACACACATATATAAATCAGAAATCGGAAACACTTTAAAATTGTAACAGTTCTGCGATACAGACACAGATAAATAATTCCATCGTGATCAAATTGATTTCTTTTTTCGTAAACTATGATCCGTGGAAAATTTTCACTTCGCTTTCATGGATAATTATCAATGAGTCCAATTTTCATAAACTGAAAAAATTCAGATTTGAAATTGATTTTATATATATAATACATAAGTAACTGTCGATTTTCATATAAAATGTATGTCTGTACTGGAGAATTTTGTCGATTGTTCGAAACAAAGCATCCTCCGCAGAAATTTTCAGCTGGTCTAAATAGCATAAAAGAAAAAACACACAAATGCTTGTATGTATGCGTGAAGTATTCGATTAAAAACGCGAAATATGGTGACGGACCAAATTTAGCTCAAGAATTCGTTTAAAAAAAAAGTAACCCGTGATATGGACATATATTTATACAAACATTTACTTTTTCGGCTTGTTCGAGTTTGTCAAACATATTTACTAAAAAAAGTTTAAAAAAAATGGCGTTACTTAAAATTTAAAAAAAAAATTGCAAAGAAAACCAAAAAAAGCAAATTATTATTGCTCCCAATTTTAAAGACAAATTATATTACATAAAATGGAGAAAACCTTCTGCAGTTATTCATTTGCCAAATAATATTGTAAATAAATTTATACAATACTCTTTTCTCACTTTTTTTTTAAATTTTACCTACTCGTTATCCCTTCGAATACTGTTCTAAATATCAGCCGTTATCATAAAATTGGGACAATAATTTTTCCTAACTGACTATGAGCTGTCGGTGACAGTTCATGAAAATTTAGCATTTTAAGGCGTAAACTCGAACAGTAAATTCTCTTCAGCCAGCTGATGAAGGCAGGTGGCATGAATGGAGGATAAAAAGTGAATTTGAGGGAAAAAATGGGGTTCTGTGTGCACAGCACAATCTGATTGAGTAACTTGATAAAGGAGCCATAACACGAAAAATCGTAAGTGAGCACCGGCGGCCATCCAATTTCTCAGTTTCAAACATATGTCGCTGGCAATTCCCCCCTATCTGATCACATCTCACTGTCATTTTTCCTCGCTCACACGTTTCCCCAGTGCTCGCATCCGACCACGGAAGCGTGCCAACCTCTTCCACTTCATCAATTTTTGCACAACTTTTACACACATAACTTTGAGAAACCAAGGCGCTTTTTTTGGGATGGTGCCAAATGCAGTCGAACATGAAAAAACATGAACGACCGTCAAATAATTATATTGTTTAGAGCTGGAAGCTTGAAATCTATATGGGCCGAGGCTAATTCAGAATAGCTTGGCGTTTGAGCCAAAAAGTGGCTGTTATAACATAACTCGCTATACCATACCGTGTGATACTTATACAATGTTACAGCACAGTTTATTTCTCTTGAAAAGTTACTCACACCCAATAATGAAAGCAAACCAGAAAAATAATTAAGCTTTACTCCTCCAATTGCCCGAAAGTAATTTTCACAGAAGCTTTTTTTATTTCAATAGAATTCATTAATAGAAATTTTTTTCAACAAAAATTAGAAATTAAAGAATTTAATTTTTTTTTAGAAATTAAAGAATTTATTTTCTTTAGAAATTGAAGAATTTTAAAACAAAAAAGAATTTTACGAAACACTGCATAGCTGTTTTGTATAAAGAAGGCAAATATTAGAGAAAAAGCTGGATTCAGGAAAATATATGCGCTGAAGTAAGGTTTAAACCTCTGACAGGGGAAGTTCGAGTAGTTATTTTCTTTCTTGTAGGTATCACTACCAGTACACGAGAAAAAGATAAGTATACATAAGCATATAAGCATAAATGTACATCTATAACACTGTATCAAGCATTTCTGAAATTTTATGGTTAATTTAAAAAAAAGTGTGTTTTTTGTGATAGATGAAATTAGCGCATAACCCGGCTATAGAAGTAAAAGGGATGCGTTGTGAGTTGCACTGTGATCGGTCATAGATTTGATTATATTAGCAATAGTAGTAATAGTATCAAGAACATAGTGCTCGAATGGACACATGTGGAAAACGGCTACAGCACGTAAGTGACCTTGACGATTACATGAATAAGCCCTACTGGGCATGTGTATTTTTGAATCTCGAGATTTGTTACGAATAGATTGATAAAATTTAGAAAAGAAAATACCTCCCGCTTTTGGTGATCACCATTTCGGTGCCACAGGTGCAGAACTGATCCCACAGATTTTTGTCATCCAGCTCCACTTTCGGATCGTCGACCACACCATCCTCTTCCGGAATATGTGCACCAGGTGGCGGCGGTACTGATGGGACAAGGTCAGCCATTTCGGTGGGCAAACGTGGAAAGAAGCCGGTTGGACCGGGTAACGAGGGAAACGGGGGCGGCTGTAGATAGGGTGGTAGCAAAGCCAGATCTGGCCTGGCCAGGAATGGATTAAATGCCATGTGCATACGGTAATTAGCGCATAACACCGGCTACACAAGCAGAAGGGATAATTCGTCGTGAGCTGTACCGTGATCGGTCACAGATTTAGTAATAATAACATTAGTAGCAGTAATAATAATAGTATGAAGCACATAATGCTCGAGTGGACGCATGTGTGGACAACGGTTACAACACGTAAGAAGTGACCTTGACAATTAATGAATAAGCCCTATCGGGCACAAAATTACTAATTGCTGTCTCCTCAGGATAAATGGCGTGAAAAGCAATTACCGGTTCACGTACACGCACCCTATAACTCGGACAGGCGTACACTCACGTGGACGTACACGCACAGGGCAGACAAACGCACAGACACGTACACGCAGCGGAAAACACAGGGACGGCGGAGAGCTGCGGAGGAGCAGTAGCAAGACAACTGACGAAATTGACACCTTTGGAAGTTGTATTTACTGCTCCCTGGGCGGCCGCGCCATGCCTCTCTTGAGTGGCAGCCGCCATCCTCACCGCCTCCAGCTATTGGCTGATTGACAGCTCCAGGGGGTTGGGCATCCCCGAGTGGGCGGGGCTGACCCCGCCTTCGTTCCGCCCACTCAGCAAGCAGGCCTGTGGCGACCAGTGCTGCCGGCTGTGTGTGGACTTGCTTGGCTGTCCATTCGCACCCCTGCCGCCTTCCTCCCCCAGGTGTACGGTAATTCGTGTGCCTCATAAGCGGATGTTTCGGTCGGTTTCTCTCACCCCCGTGCCTCAAGCCACCGCCACACTTGCACCTTTACTCGCATCCTCATGTCAATTTGCACCTGCACCTTTTGTCGGTGCGCAATTCATCCCCTGCTTGAGCCCAAATCGTAAAATGTTAGCCGGAACCTGTTATCCTTTGTGGTGGAATTGAGCGATTGCAGCGTTACCAGGCAACTTATGCGCTCTTGTTTTCATGACTGTACCTTTACACCGCTGCCCAACGATCGGCGTATTTTTTTTTTCTGTTTTTTCTTGTTTTTTTAAATAATATCATCGGCTAATTTCCCGCATTACTGCCCCTAATTCCCTTGCCCCCAATCGCCCACCTGTTTTTGTTGACGATCCACTTTTTGTATTCCTCCCTCCCCCCTTTGTTTTGTTTTATAGATACTATTGTTTTTGCTTTAGATTTTTTGTCACCTAAGCTATGGGACCCTGGTACCGTCATTTTTTTTTCTTTCGTGCTTCAGTAGC